AAGGTACGGTGGTCCAATGGTAGAGTGTGCGACTGGCAATTCCTTGTTCGTAGGTTCGCGCAACTACACAGTATTAGTGGATTTTCTCAATAATGATGAATTGTGAATCATTTGGAAATAGTGTGATTAGGTCGTGCTGTTGCTGTCTTTTGAGGTAAACACAGGAGTTGCTTAGGAAATTCTTGAGGTTATCTTGGGATGATTTCGGGGCTTTTTTAGTGTCCCCGCGGCCCGGTCCTCGACCAGACCTCCACCCCCAGGAAGCAACCCGTGACAGCTGACTAACACCCAGGTACCTATTTTACTGCTAGGTAACAGGGGCATAGAGTGAAAGAAACTCTGCCCATTGTTTCTCGCCGGCGCCTGGGATCGAACCCAGGACCACAGGATCACAAGTCCAGCATGCTGTCCGCTCGGCCGACCGGCTCCGTATCAAAGTCTGATAAAAAACCAAAGGAAGTAGGTGGTGTGTAGGACAGATATGAACTGTACACACGCCTGATGCACACCCCGCAAAATATTGCATAAGCCATCACCTACTACCAGTTTTTTTAATACTTCCAGCTGTTGCCACACTACTTTGTTTTCTTCTGAAGACAGGTGGAGCGTATTCTTAAATAAAGTTACTGCAAGTCTTGTGGCCATTTATTCAGCCAAATTAACGCTGGGAAAAGCTACAGCTTTGTCTACAGATGAAGATAAATTTGTGTAGAAACACGTGGTTTCCTCGTGATCACTAAACTATTGTCCTCTCCTTCCCCCCCCCTCCCCCTCCCCATTTTTCCTTCCCAGATCACGTGATCAGTCTGAAAAGCAAGAGGGGGGGGAGGTCCAGTAACCCTTGCTCGACACACACACATATAGAGGCAAAAATAATAACAATAATTGGACTACATTTAATAAGTATAATAATAATAATAAATATAATATCAATGAATATTATAATTATAATAATTATGGTAATAACACTAACAATAATGCACAAAGAAATCACATTAACATGTATCAATTTTGGAGTACCCGGTGTGCAGGTTCGAATCCTCATCATAGCTTCTACTGATTTTCTCAATAACAATAATGATAATGATTTTCTCAATAATAATACTGTAATAATAATAATGGTAATAACAACAACAATAATAATAGTAAGCTAGGCCGCTTCATCCCAGTGCTCTGGCATCACCTGCTCCTGCAAGTCTACAAGTAACATTGCCAAACAAAATCCTGAAACACTTCTCGACGCGAACGTTAGTGAAGTTCTAGTGATGGCTCTCTATGCCTTCTTTCAAGCTCTCATTGATAAACTGTGCCACTAATCTGGAAAAAAGACCTCTCACGAAAAGAATGAGTGAAAACTAAATTTTGTTTTGATACCATACACATTAAAGTGACAATGTCATGTGAGTATATCACTTTCGTCATTAACCGACAGATGCATCCTTTGCTAATAAGATTATGCTTGGCTGACTCATGTTGTGTCGCAGACGCACCAATTTTACAGCACTAGGAAAATGGTGTAAAAAAAGCAGCATTACAAAATTTTGTAGTCGTCGCATCATCAAAACAGCTGCCCTTTTCAGAGAAAGATGAATATCGGTAATGCGCCTCATTTTAAAATAAATTAAATTTTGTACTACATATACCCTTTACGTACACAATAATACTTTTTCAAATATATCCTTGAATTGACATGGTGAAATTTCTTTATATCTTAAAAACTGTAATATTTTAACTAAAGCGATTTGAAGCCGATGAAAATATTTTTAATAAATTTTTGTGGTTGATGAAGTAGCCAAATACACTACACAGGCAGTGCTCATTACACGGACGGTACCCACCCATTTCGACAACACTCATCATTGCAACAGTTACGCTTATACAATAAGCAATCCATACAATCTCCTTTTGTTTATTTCACTCTTCGGTAGGCATAACCTTACTCTTCCTTTCTTCTTCCATGGCTGTATAAAAGATTATCATGACTAATAACAAACAGGCCGTAAAACCCAACAAGTGAGTGTACGCGTTCAGCTGGAGGTGCGAAGCTTCCGCCGTCCAAGACAAACCTGCCTACTAATGTTACCCGTCGACCCCCAGCCGCCAGCCGCACGCCTCAGCTCACCTACTCTTCACCACAACAGAGCGTGCTGGGTTTTATCCTTTTACCTTTTAAGTATCAAATAGGGAGTTATTGCTGGAATATTTGATATTGCTTCGTATATAATAGTAATGTCATTATAAGTATTGTTGTTTTTGTATTATTTATTATTATTATTATTATTATTATAAGATGATAATGATAATTATCACGGTGATAATACAATAATGATAATATAAAATAATGATAAAATGATGCAAGTTTTCGTTAAACATGCATACCATGTACTCCTTTATGAGAAAATATATAATAATTTACCCTGCAGTCATATAATCGCATGAAGGTCACTTAGATTGTGTGTATGAATAGTGTCTCAGGGAAGCATCCAGGGTTTTCTGTATTTTTAGATGTATTTTAAAAGCATAGCAACAGATTGTCTCAGCTCTATATTTATTGGTTTTTTGTTTCTTTTATTTTACGGGAATTAGTGGTATTAGAGTTTAATAATTTTTATGATACAACCTTAGCTGCATCTGGAAGTCTCATTTTGTAGCTAGTCCGTAGTCAGGTAAGCATAGAATCTTAGGGAGCGTCCATTTACCTCTCATATTCATGGCTGATCACATCAAACATGACCGGCACCTTTGTTTCTTGTGTTGCTGAGCTCTATCTTCCAGAGCCATAGTCGCAGACTACGTAATACATTCGTCGCCCTTGGTGTGTTTATGGTGGACGACCTGCAAGTACCTGGTATCATCTCTTGTACCAAGCAACTGATTCAAATATAAAAGATGAGAATTATGAGTACTGTGTATGCTGGTTGGGATATGTCTATTTATATATTTTATCTGGGTCTAGTTTGTCTATATTTTCGTTGCCATAGATTCATACATGACCGAGTTGACAATGACTGTTTACACTAGGCTGGCTCGCTTGATCTACAACCTGGTGTGAGGATTAGGCTAGGGGTAACTTCGCTTGATCCTACACCCTGGCATGTGATTTAGCCTGGGGTAACCTCGCCTGCCCCACACCCTGGCATGTGATCTGGGCAGGGTGTAGCCTCGTATATGCCCCAGCTGCTGACGTATGATCTAGGCTGGATGTAGCCTCGTATGTAGCCCACAACCGGCGTGTGATCTGGTCTGGATGTAACCTTGTATGCCCCACATTCTGGCGTATGATCTGGGATGGATGTAGTCTCGTATGTGCCCCACACCTGGCCGTGATATCTGGGCTGAGGGTAGCCTCGTATGTGCCCCACACCTGTGCGTGTAATCTGGGCTGAGGGTAGTCTCGTATGAGCCCCACACCTGGGCTGAGGGTAGCCTCGTATGTGCCCCACACCTGTGCGTGTAATCTGGGCTGAGGGTAGTCTCGTATGAGCCCCACACCTGGGCTGAGGGTAGCCTCGTATGTGCCCCACACCTGGGTGTATCATCTGGGCTGAGGGTAGCCTCGTATGTGTCACACCCTGGCTTGCGAATTAAGCTGGATGTAGCCTCGTATGGCCCACACCGGCGTATGACCTGGGGTTACTTTGCTTGCCCAACAACTGGCGTGAAATGGCAGACCATCAGAAAAGGAGCAACTGGAAACCTTGGGTATACTGTATACTGCAGCTATTGTATACAAATGTTGAAACTACTACCAGTGGAGTGTCATTATTTACTAGTCTGCTCTATGGTGAATAGGTCGTGCAAGGAAGTAATACCCATTCCTTCTCGCTATGTATATATCCAACCTCTGATTAAAGTTTCTTTAAAATTTAAAAAAAATTGGCTCTATTTATGCTGACCTGTTAACTGTGCGATAACCATGCTCTGGTCCATTTCTGGAGGCCCTATCCACGCATTTTATGTATGTCTTTAATGAGGATAAAATAAAACATTTTCTGATTAGGTAACTTTGTTATACCTTAAGTTAAAGTGTAACGGAAATGTAGTATTAGAAAAAACCCGTGATAGACAAAGATTGCATGATACAGAAACACTTGCACCGTCACCTCGTGGGTGACGCACTAAACAGTCAGTGCTCGAAACACAAGAAAATTTACGTATGTCAATAACAACTTTTATAACCATTTGGCCTAAGCTAAAGTAACCATGTAGATTAAATAAACATGGTTACCTGGAAAGGGAGACATGTAAATCAGAAATTGACAGCATATTTATCATTAAATAAATTCGAATCAGTGTTTGTACACTTAGATGAAAAGTTCTCAGTGAGGTGAGTACTTCTCAGTACTCACCTATTTGTTGTACTCACCTAGTTGTGTTAGCAGGCCCACTAGTAGGTAAGCCTACTAACCCATTAGTACACTGAGATGTAGGCCTACACCTTAAAATTTATATACCCTTTATAAATGTTGTTTTCTTAAAAACCTTACTTCATAATTTATTTTTTTACAATATTAATTTTCTTATATAACCTGTAAGGATTCCTTTCTTAGTTGAGGCTGCATTACAAACTGAACCATAGAGCATACATTTTTAAATTAGTGTTCTTTACACTTTGCAATGAGTATATTTTAATCCCTAAATGTTATGAGTACGCTATAATTAATGGCCATAACGAAGGAAGAATAAGTTAAAATATAATTTGTTTCTGTTTTGTATTCAAAATCGATAGTAGAGAAGTCCCGTTTTCTGTGGAGAAGATAAATGTAGGAATGGCGAGAAAGCGCATGCGGGAGTTTGAAGTTTGTCTGCAATACCACATATTATATCAAGCTTAATATATCTAAAACTTTAACTAAATTTAAATGACCTGAAATGCCGCTACAATATACAACGTAGCAGCTAAAGCCACATAAAGCTGCGATTAATACTGCTGGAGGTGTATGTGAATGCGTGATGGTTAGAGTTGCCGGGTGTCTGCACTTATATATCCCAGGCGGGCTTGGCTGGCCGCCCCACTCTCCCTACACCTGCCGGTACACGCTCACACTACTACTACATCTCCAGCCTTTGGTCTGCACGCTTACGTCTCCAGCGCTCTGCCCTCAAAATAGATCTGTTGTTCACTGTTCACATTAATGGTTTACCATGGTGGTTTCGACCATATCTGAAAATGTGCACATCTCTGTTCGTGTGAACGAGATATATTATTCAGACTACTCTGATACTCGAGTTCGGTGAGACATTGCTCTGCGTTTGTGTATAAAACAGTGATATAGCCCAGTTCTGAGGGACATAGTGGCCTCTTGAAAACGAGCGTCTCCAAAGGCAAGTACAGGCATATAGTCAAATGCCCAGTGGAGCAACAGAGAAGAAAGAGCGTGTGCTACTTGTCAAGACTGAAACTATGGCTCGTCTTGATGCTGTTACCATGGTAAGCGATATTTGTTTTATTTTTGGACGTGAGGGAAGTGTTAAAAACAGTCGCCGGACTTGATCTGCAGAGGTAGTCAGTTGCTGGAATTATTTTACTGCTCACCCATAAACTTGTGTACTAAATTGGTTTGGTAACTAAGATTATAGGCAAGGGGGGATATAAACATTTATATCCTTCAGATTGTTAGTAAACATGATTATACACCATGCAGGGACACTAGTGTGTTATCATAATAATTAGACATTGTATGGAACGTGTAGGTTATTAACTTTTGCATTATATTTAGTCTCAAGTTTGTGCCGGATTGAGTTTGGGTTTCCTCGGTGTTTTAAGGATGTAGAGAAGTGCAGTAAGGTAGCGTGCCAGAAAGCTAATTATAGCTAACATTTCTACCGATTTTATTGGTGTCCAACACGAGAGATTGTCCATTTCGTATTATCCTGCCTTGTATAGCGACTTGTGAGCCTCTTGTTGAATCACTTGTGATAAAAAAGGTTATTGATTTGTGTAGGCGATTAAATATGTATGTATGTATACATACATGTATATATATGTACATGTATGTATATATATGTACATGTATGTATATATATGTACATGTATGTATATATATGTACATGTATATATATGTACATGTATATATAACATTAATAATTGTGTAACTAGCGTCAAAAATTATTTGCTTAGTTAAACGAACTAGAGGGTTCAGTTCCTGAACCGATTATGTGCCTCTGTCATCCTTTACACCACCGCCCACGGGATGGGTATGGGGTGCATAATAAAGAAATTTAATTGTATCATCCTGTTAAAAAGGTCTATACCAGCGCCAACTTGTGCTATATTCTTGTTTGAAAAAGCGATTTCCTTCGCCCCCATTGAAAATGGCATAGGTTCTTTTGTTTGTATCATTTTGACTAGTGTTTTCCTCTAGTACTGAAACTTGACTAATTTTCGCCTTGAATATATCTACTCAGCCCCCTGGCCTAGCAATTGGTAAGCATGTTTAATCTAGGCGGAAATAGTTCTCGTGTATCATACAAAACTCGCCAAGCAAGATCCAAATACAAAACAAAATTACCATGGCAAGATCAACTACTGTCATCATGCTCCATACACAACATGGTTACAAAGTTACGTAACCATGCCAGCGGCTCTGGCAACGCGTGCTCCAGGCATGGGGAGCGTGGGTGATTGGAGTAACAACCAGTTCAATCCCCTCCCCAGCTTCCCTTCTGCACCCCAGGAGCTGTATATGCCATTTGGTTCCTAAAGTTGAAGGCTCGGTGCTCGTTGCATACCATCTTAATCAAATTGTATAATTTCTTTTAAACAGTTACAGTGCGTAACACGCTAAGCATTTTAAGGAAACAAATTGTATTGTTTCCGTAGGTATTCATTAGTGTTTATATAAAACGTTGATTTTTGTACTCTGGGCTAATCAAATCACCCTTGCAAGTATGAAATAAGAAAATGAAGGATTTCTCTATGTATGCTCACTTGACTAGACACTGGGCGTAATACTACAATAATTTTGTACTACAGAAAGTTTCTCTACATAGTAATCAAGGTTACATATTTACTGGCTTAATAATCTGCATATATTGCAATAACACCATATGTATTTATTAAATAGTAAACTCCCCTCTGTAGCCTCAAGGCTGAGTCAGGTAGCCAGCCACCGTAAACCAGTTCAAAGCGGGTGATGCAGTGCACTCTCGCTGCCACTTATCACATGTTGGCTCGTCAGAGGTATTATTCTTTTAATACCTCGGACTCTAATTTTTCATTTATGGGCTATAAATAGTCTTAAAGGTTAGATATGTGGGCATGTCGAGGAAGAGATTAACTCTGTTACTGGCTGTAAGTCTTGACGCGCTCCATTCCTTAAATAAAGCAGTCTAACTTATTCTATGAATTAGAATGTAGAATAACTGTATATGGGTTGGTCAGTGGGGAAATGAAGATAAAAGGTTGGAGAAAGTTAATTTGGGTAATAGGGTGCAAGATTGTTAATCATTAAATCAGTGGTATGGGGAGGGGGGGGGGTCTAGAACATAATCATCTTTAGTAGTAATGCTATTAGTTTCATAACGCTTTGAGTGTGCATTACATTCTGGGAAGGTCCGTAGTAGAGTAAGTGGGGACTAGATAAGCTTCCCGCCTCTTGAGAATTAAATGACGCAACAAATCCATATTTTGCATGCAAGATAAAACGTGGATTTTAGGTTTAATAAGCATTATCAGGTTACCTTATATTCATACATTACAACAGTATTAATATTGCATTTAAGTAAATAAGAAGATATTGGGAATAAAATGTATACGTAAAATATATTTACTGCTATATGGCAACCCTGCAATAAAAAGTAACGCGCCACCGTTGGGGATTGGCCAACTCGGTGGGCCGGTCTTCGGCGCAGTTTCTGATTGGTCTACCGCCTCACGTCAAGGGTACCCTTGACGCTAAAGATCATAGTACTATAGAAGATAGTGTTTGGTACATTTTTATTTTATTTATACAATAGTTTTTACATTCATCATAATAGGTTGTAGCACACTAGGTATTGTTAATATAAATATATATGATTGCCTGGCAGGAAATAAATGTGTAATGTTAACTTTCGTTTATTTAGAAGTTCTAACTCTTATCCTTGTCACTTCAGTTATTAGTGATGTAATAAGTTTGTCAAGGAACCGTTATTAAAGGTACATGCTATAGCCGTTTGGCATGACATTAAATAATGTCTTCGTGGTAGGTGTTCAGTGGGCATCTTAGCTTATACATTCGGAAAATATTTAATCCTTTATACAATGTATTATAATTAATGTGTATAAAATTTGTAAGCTTCGAAAGTTCAAATGGCTCGGATCTTTTTATATTAATGTCACAGTTCTAGAAAACAACTATTACCATTAATATGGTAATGTAATATATTTGGCATTGTGAGAGATTAATTACAATGTTCCTCTCATCCTTATCAGTTTTGTGTTCAATAAGGGCATAGTCATGCTTCCCTCTCACCCCATACTAAGTGTAAAGAGGAGCTACAACTAGGGGTGCTGTGACCTTGAAGCTATACAATGTTTTCTTCACTTGGCTTTCTTTATCATATTTAAAGAGTTTAATCATTTTAGTGCATTAAGACATTCCAGGTTTTCAGTAAATTTGGATAGTCTTATATTTTAACTTTATTAAAATGTATTGTGTGTAAATCACGAAAATCAACACGTGATGAAAAATGTGAGTGTTAGACCACTAAGGAAGAATTGAAACAGGAATTTCCTTACGTACCTTCGTATTTAATAATCGCCCTTCTGAAGATGTATTATTAAATTAAATACGAAAGTACTTGAGGAAATTCCAGTTTCAGTTCTTCCTTCATGGTCTGACACTTAAAAATGTATATATAAAATATAGTAATGTCCTGTATGTATACAGGACAATCTAGTTTATGGTTAAATGTCTTGAGTTTGAAATACACTTACTACATTGTCCAAACATACATTGTATCCAAATAACTATTCATGGCTGTTGTCCATGTAAAAAAAAAAAGTTTCTTTAATAATGGTAACGGAAGATCGATGTATTTTATGATAACTAAAGTGTTATAACCGTCTGTGGCCGCCAGCTTTGATTGTGTGGCAGGAATGTAACGAAGCATTGAAATGTGAATTAAATGCATAATGGATGAGATGTGCGAATAAGATGCATATTGCATTATCTGTATCATATTTACGTGCTTGGTTAATAAAGAATTATTTGGTTAACAGTCGCCGTTGGTGAAGTCTTTCGTGGCTGGGTCTTTCTCGGGGACCTGTTCTACCATCCTGTTCCAGCCACTCGATCTGGTGAAGACTCGCCTCCAGACTACCATCGCCATACCGTGAGTATTTTATGGTTTTGCTATTATTTGTAAGTTAGATAAGCTATAAAAAATAGTAAATACGGTAGACATTGCATATATAATTTATAAACCGGCGTTGCATAGTGGGCGATTGGGAAAAGCAATTTATAGCTTATCTACTCCTTCCTGGTAACAAATGACCCCAAAATTTAGACAATTATGATGTAAAGTATTAGGCCTTTACGTGTAACCAGGTTAATTTTGCAATATCGTGATGTGCCAAAGCGCATTAAACTTGGACAGGCGCTCTCTAGACCTTAATTTGCACCACTACGCCTCCACTGTGACCCGCTAAAATGTCCTGTGCCACCATAGCCAATCATGCCACACATTGTCTTACGGGTGAGGACGATAACTATTATTGTGTAAGATTGTTACCGTTTGTTTAGCAACAACAATATTTTTTTCAAGGTAGTAAGTTTGGAGATTACACCTCCAAAGTATAAAATAATTATATTCCCCTCAATTTGGTTTGAGCTTGCCAAAGACGTCTTCCCTAAGCTTCCTGAGACAAAGGTCAAAGCAGAATTGAAGGGAATAATATGAATTTTATAGTTTTTTGACAAGTTATCAGAAAATACTAGCGCACTAACAACAAAAATTGTTAGTGTAATTAGTCTGAACAAAGTAAAGTTTGAAAATGCTGGGTCTTACAATGAAGTTCGTTTACAAAGGTCTGATCATTCGCTGAAGTTTCCTTAATGAATTGCATAAAATTTACAAATACAGTATTAGTACAAAGCCTAGTACTTTTTGTATCATTGCTTCTCTCTCCAGGCAGTATTTTTGGTACAAGGTCGATGGCCTGATACTTTTATTGCTCGGCAATGATTCAAGAATCTAGTTTAAATTTTATGTATAAAATGTTATGTCTGATTGCAGTATTCATGACAAGGCTCAAATTGTATGTATTAGTTGCATATTTTCATTGATATTGGACTAAATGAAGGTGTACCTGTTTGGAGGTCACTGGGGAGGCCTGCTAGTTGGTTGCTATGCGAGCGCGTTGTCAAGTACTGTACTGTATATATTTTCAGAGTTCTGATGTATAGTAGTTGCTTGATTTTGGAACTTCACTGAAGCTTTATTCTTAACATTAATTACTTATAATGTTATACTAAGATAGTAATGTTGAATCCGCAGATTATTAGTTAAATTTGACTTGCGCATAAAGGTAACTCATTACACTTTAATATTAAAGATAGTGTTTTTAAGGGTAATATTACTAGCATAATTGGGAAGAGGGGAATTATCATGGAAAAGTGCCAAGCCACTACGACTATATACATGACTAATGTTTTCGTTTTGGCCAAAGATCTTAAAAAAAATGGTATAAATGTTAAGAATGTGTGTTCTAGTTGTTAGGTTAAAAGGACCAATATTTCCAGGGGCCTGGTGGGAGGGTTGGCTTGCTAGACACACTGTCGCCACCCCCTGGGCGTGCACGCCCGCTCACTATCGTACATCAGCCACCTTATTAAAGATACGCTCGCCTCAAATAAGATTCGAAATACTTATTGTACAGTACTTTAATTCAAACTCCAATATATCTCGACGGCCTATATATGGGTTAACTATTAACTTTCAAAATAGTTAAAAAAACTGCCCGACAAGACTATTTTGTACTAACAAGAAGCATAAGTAGTGGCGTCATATATGACAACGATCTATTATGATATGTTGGCAGAACATGGTAATAGTTGAAATGTCCCCTCCATATAATCTTGCATATATGTAGGTTTGAGGACATTTAGATTAACATGGATATTAATAGGGGATGTGTTCCGTGAAATTAGAGAAAGTTGTGTATCCAAAAGTTAAGTCTTAATAAAGGGTAAAATTCTCGTAATAAGACAGGAAATACATAAGAGAAAACCTGGAGATGAGGCAGTTGTCGCGTCCATTGGATAAGGTAACCAATCGTACACCTAGAAGGGCAAGATTGACCTTATAACCGGCAAATTCAGTTTGGCATAATGCACAACTGGCTGTGTGGAAGAGGGGGGGGGAGGGGTTTGTATGTTAGGGGAATGTTGGGGGGGGGGGGGGGTAGGATTATATGGGAGATTGTTGGGGGAAGATTGTATGGGAGGGGATTGTTGGGGGGAAAGATTGTATGGGAGGGGATTGTTGGGGGGAAGATTGTATGGCAGGGGATTGTTGGGGGGGAAGATTGTATGGCAGGGGATTGTTGGGGGAAGATTGTATGGCAAGGGATTGTTGGGGGCGAAGATTGCATGGCAAGGGATTTTTGGGGGCGAAGATTGTATGGCAGGGGATTGTTGGGGGCGAAGATTGAATGGGAGGGAATTGTTGGGGGTAAGATTGTATGGCAAGGGAATTGTTGGGGGCAAGATTGTATGGGAGGGAATTGTTGGGGGTAAGATTGTATGGGAGGGGATTGTTGGGGGTAAGATTGTATGGGAGGGGATTGTTGGGGGTAAGATTGTATGGGAGGGGATTGTTGGGGGTAAGATTGTATGGGAGGGGATTGTTGGGGGTAAGATTGTATGGGAGAGGATTGTTGGGGGTAAGATTGTATGGGAGGGGATTGTTGGGGGTAAGATTGTATGGGAGGGGATTGTTGGGGGTAAGATTGTATGGGAGGGGATTGTTGGGGGTAAGATTGTATGGGAGGGGATTGTTGGGGGTAAGATTGTATGGGAGGGGATTGTTGGGAGGGAGATTGTATGGGAGGGGATTATTGGGGGGAGATATTGTATGGGAGGGGATTATTGGGGGGGAGATATTGTATGGGAGGGGATTGTTGGGAGGATTGTGGGGGGGCCAGGGATGTATGGGAGGGATTGTGCGTGTTTGTCCATATTAACTTCGGTCTCGCTCGCCTTAAAAATATATATATATTTTCCTTTTGTTTCTTGCAATTTCCCTGCTTGGCATCTCTGTTTCATTTTCGTCCTAATATTGTGGTCATGAATTGATGTTGGGCAGAGCGGGAGTGGCGGCGGCGGCGGCTACGGGGGAGCCCGTTGTGTGGTGGCTGGCTGCCTGGCTGACCTCGCACAGGGTCCCTCTCCAACCCTCGCTCCAGCCTCGCGCCACATAACCCTAATAATGCAGTTATAAGCGTCAGATATAGTTTAGTTTGATTTACAGTAAATAACCGGCTGGTATATTACCGAATGATGGTATTGGCTCATTATTTGTTGTTGTACAAAAGTATTAAACAGGCAGGTTGTAGTTGACGTCGGTGGATGTTGGCTACGCCTGGAGATAGGTTTCGTCAAACGCCTCGACCAGTCGGTGCTACCTATCTCCACTCTACCCGTATTTGATAGGATGGAATGCGAGTTGACTTGGTGAAGGTGGTGGGGATCTCTCTCTCTTTGTTGCTAAGAGCGTACTAGTAGTTACGTAATTGTGTAACGATACACAATTGGTTCACTGTTAGTCGTATGCATTGATATTTCTAAACGGTTGAATTTTTGCTTAACTAAATTATCGAATACATAAGTATGTATGAACCAATATTTATGTAACTGGATGTAATTGTTTTAAGATTTATCGTTATATTATTACATTAAAGAAACTAGTTTTATACGTGCATATAATTACAAATGAGAAAATAAAATTGTATAAATTGTACTGCAGATGTTCTATATTAAAAGGAAAACCATTTTTATTTATGACGTTAAACCATACTGGCTTAATACTTATTTGATAATTGGTCATTTATTTAATATGTCCAATATCCCCATCCACTGAGCATGTAGGAGCAGAGGAACGTAATGAGATCAGGAAGGGGGGGGGGGGGTACAGATAGCCTAAGCTAATCTAGCCCTTTGAGATGTATTTTCTTGTCTCACTAAACATACTTGAACTTGAATGAGATCAGGAACTGAACCTCACAATTTCAGAAACAAAATATTATAGGAATAAAATCGGTTTCAAAACTCTGCATACTTAAGCAGGTTGGTTTAATTTAATTAAGCTGAGGTTTTGGATATAACCAGTTAATTATCGCGTATACAGTATGGTTACATTAGACTGATGGGCTATGCACATAGGAAATCCTCTAACCCAGTAATGGGAATAACTCTCACTTAATCATGGAATTTGGTTCCGGAGCCGATTATGCCTCAAACATTTAAGGTCACCCTGAAGTTTTAGTTTAGTTAATTTATTATGCACCCCATACCCATCTTGTGGGCGGTAGTTTAAATGGTTACAGAGGCACATAATGGGCTCGGGGACTGAACCCCACAATTCATTTAGCTAAGCCTGAAGTTTAGTTTTTTTCTCATTAAATTGCCTTATGCGTTCGCTGGCTAGCACACAGACACAGAGCCGTCCTCCTTCCCCCGCACCATCCGCCAGACTGACCTCGCACAGGGTCCCGCTGCTACCCTCGCTCCAGCCTCCCGCCAGCCTCCCGCCACCGCGGCTCTCACTATTATAATTATGTAGTACTGTGTATGTGCGCACTTTTAAAAATAGGAATACAGCTTCTTGCCAAGTTGTGACTTTCTTGTATGGTAGACATTTTGCCAATGATTTATTTGCAAAGAAATTCATGTTATGTAGCTTTCATTTACTTTTGCGGTTGGTATTTTTTTTAATTAACAAGCTTAGATATACACAGCAATGTGCTGCTACCCTATTCTTTATGAAGATTTGTGTAGATCAAAAACTAGTTATAAGTTCATCTAATATTCCTATCTCGCAGGATAGTCATACATGGAATAAGGAGAGAAAATACCCGCCTCGGTGCAAAAAAAAAAAAAAAAAAAAAAAAAATAATCTGAGTTTCATGTGATTTCTAACGACCATATGAGTCTAGGGTTCACAATAAACAAATTAGGGAGCATTTTCCGGTTTACTTTTAATGTTTTTAGATTTGTTTCTAACAGTACGCGAATATTTGATTAATTTTGTCTGGGAACTATGGTGTATACACCTCCCCAGGATGCAACCCCACAACAGATGACAAACTCCTGGATACCTATTTACTGCTAGTTTAACAGAGGCATAAGTTGATAGAAACGTGGCAAACCATTTCTGTTCTGCCACAGAGATTCGAATCATGATAATAGATATTGTAGAATGAACCCAACAGTACTGCTGGAACTTCAAGACCCTATACAGTACTACTATATATACTGTACAGAATATATATATTTTTAACTTTACAACTAATATTACTAGTAATTTATCTGGCGTCATTGGAAAGATAGAAATATTTTAACTTTCATAATTAAACTTTAAAAAAAAATACAGTATATGGATTGCATTTAGAACATAAGTTTGCACAAGTAAAATTAAACTTGTCACTGTATTTGCATTGTTTAAATATTTCACTAATGATAACAATTAACAGATTATTAGGATAATTTTTAAAGTTTAAAGTTTTAACATTATTAGGACAATTTTTAGATTTGAATTTTCCTTCAAAAAGTACTGCCACAAAAATCCTTTCTAGTTGAGATGGGAATATTAAATAAACTTGTGGCCAGATTTTGATTGACTCTAGTCTTTCATACAGAAAAGGGTAGCAACACATTGTTGTGTATACCTAAGCTTAATTTTTGGTATATATATATATATTTTTTGTTTAATCATTTTTATTCAATTACATTTATATATTGGCAACTCTTCAGTATTGTTAGTAATTTAAATTTAGATGCTTTAGGGAGCAGCAATTCTCATAAATCTTGAAAGATATTTCCAGCTGAATTTTTAAACTTCAGTGCTAGTCTGGATTTTACTTCAGTAGGTGGGTTGACTTCATTTAATACTTAAGTGTGTAGGCGATTCCATGGGTATACAGTTACACTGCTTGTTTTGTTCTACATTATGGCTTGAGATTAATTCTTTTACTCATTGTGAGTTTTGTTGGCCTTATCAAAGAAGTGGTCTGTATTGAACACAAAGGAGAACTACGGGCTCACCATAGCCAGTGCTGCTTGGAACTTTTTGTCCCAAGTAGCGAATCTTAAACAACAATAGCTTAATTTGTTCAGCATTATGTAGGTCTTCATCAGCCCAGTCATTGGGTTTGCCGTGTTGTTGGTCCAGAGGCCCTTGACCAACTGTATGGTCAAGGTACTGTATGAGTCAACTTAATCCTGGGATAAACTTTTGACCCTTTACATTTTAACTTTTTTTCACAGTGGATACTTTTTTTTTTTTTTTTTTTTTTTTTTTTTTAAAGGTCTTGTATGCTTTGACACATTAGTTCTAATAAGGTGCATCAGAGATGTGTACTGTACAGCCAAATAACCATTTTTTCTCGATATTGGAGGTTTGATTAATACCAGAGTTTTGGTGACTACTGCTCTTGCTCACTAGGCAACTTTCAGTGGCTGGTGGCTCCCAGGGTGCTATTCTATGTCAGTCTGCTCCATGATAGTTGATATGGTAGTGTATTAATGCCTCATAAATAGGCCATTATATAATAAATATTACTCGGGATTGCTTTTAAGACAAGAAACCCAACTTCAGACTGCAGTGCTAGTGCATGTTGACAACAATTTGACATTGGTCATGTACTCTAGTGTGCAGTAGTAATTTTTATTTTTGTATTTATATATATACACAGTATACAAGGTATATTAGGTTGTAAGAGTACATGCCATTGGTGTTCTGAGCATTGCATTCTTGCAAAGCCATTGGTATCTAGTTGGTAATTGTTGTAGTGTCGTTTTTACATTAATAGGGCATCTTGACTTCTTGACGCTTTTAGTGGAATCGGTGTAAACTGAGTATTTCTGAGAATAAAAATGTTTTATTAGTCGCCAAGGCAAGCTTAAAAAATACAACATAAATACATTGGTGACATCTGCCAGGTATATAATTGTTAAACTGACCAATGATATGCCTTGATCAACAAATCACCAATATGCACCCTATGTTTTCCCGTGAGGGTGACAATATTTTTTATACTGTGTAATAATTTGAAGGATAATACCTTAAAAAGTCCATACAAAAGAGTGATTAATTTATATTGTACAAGTTGAAAATTTCTGATTCTATTTTAAATTTCTTTTTCAGATCTGGTGGTTCAGTTGGCATGTTAGCCACAGTTGGTAAAGTGGTTCGCAATGAGCGCCTGTTTGGATTGTGGAAGGGCATGACTCCTGTAAGTGTTCCAAGATATCCCTTAAAACAGATATATATTTGTCTGCAGAGTAGCCTTTGCATTTAAAATTGTATTAAAAATTACATTATTGTAACTGAATTTGTGACATGAATCATATTAAATACAGTATTACTTGGAGCCCAACCACTTGGACTGGACAATGGATCGACAGTCTTGCTTCTTGCAGGTCGGCGTTCAATCCTCGACCGTCCAAGTGGTTGGGCACCATTCCTTAACATTATCTATCCTAAATCCTTATCCTCATATCCCTCCCAAGTACTATACAGTACTGTCATCATAATTGCCTAGTGCTTTTTTCTGATAATGACCTTATCTTGGTGGGTTATGAACCTAATGTTTACAAATAATTTCAGAGCATCTTCCGTTGTGTGCCAGGTGTAGGCCTGTATTTTTCATCACTGCATTGGCTGAAGACCACCTACTGCGAGGGTCAACCAGGGCCTTTGGAGGCAATCATGCTTGGGGCAATGGCTCGTACCATTACTGGGGTCACTATGATCCCAATCACGGTCATAAAGACCAGATATGAGGTAGGAACAACATTGATATTACTAAGTTGTTTTTTGAGCTCTTCGGTCAAGCTTAGCCATTGTGTAATGAATGCTTGGTTATCAGATAAAGCTGTAGTAGTCTATATCAGTGAATGATAAGTAATTTTCCTTATATTACATAAAATATCATGGCCCTGGTTTCCTACTTGGTGATGGAGCTTCTTAATATTCTTGGATATTAAAAAAAAATCCCCGTTTTTACAGAGTGGCGTATACAGCTATGGTAGTATACGTGAGGCCATGTGTTCGATCTACAGAAAAGAGGGTGCCAGGGGTCTGACTTGTGGCCTGGTTCCCACACTTCTCCGTGATGCACCCTTTTCTGGGCTCTATCTCATGTTTTATACACAAACAAAGAAGCGAGTTCCACAGTGTAAGTTTGCTTATAATTACTGTACAAAGTTTTTAGGACTTTTATCATTTAAAAATGTAATAAATCCTTTTCTAATACATAGTTGATTTCCCACATCACTTGGTAAGCTTAATAACTGAATTATAATACTGTATACAAATGGATTCTATTGAACAAGTAACAGTTAATTAATTAAAATAAATTGTTTACAGTATACATGGAAGGCAAAATGGCTCCCCCGGTTCACTTCACATGTGGAGTGCTGGCTGGACTTATGGCATCAACTGTCACTCAGCCCTTTGATGTCATTAAAACCAAGATGCAGCTTTACCCAGACAAGTTCACTTCCTTCTATCAGGCTGTCTGGTATGTCAAGAAGAAGTATGGTCCACAGGGGTACTTTAAAGGGCTGGTCCCTCGCATGCTCCGACGTACTCTTATGGCAGCCATGGCATGGACTGTGTATGAGCAGGTAAGGCTGTCAAATTTACCAAAGATTTGAATTGGTAGTCTGAGATATTGTAGTAACCTTTTTAGTAAAGAATTTTTAAATATTGTAAACTTCAAATATTACTATCAAATGTCACAAGTGGTTATTGGATTTTCAGTGTGTATCACTTGTATAGATACCAATTTTTTTTTTCCAGATCACAAAAAGCTTTGGGATGAAGTAAGAAGTGTAATGACCAACAGCATGTAAAAACATGATAATTTAATGTATAGTAAATTAATTAGCTACTAACCATGAACTCTTAACTGACTATGGTGAACCTAAAGAAATTGTATGAACTTTAGAAAAAAAATATTGCATAACATGTGAAGCAAAGAGTTCTAATATCATATGTTTTTTTAATCCTCTGTAGTTTGGACTAGTTTTATTTTTTTTTAACCAGCATTGCTCTTGTCTGAATGTTAAGCCCACATACCTGCCCATGAAGTTAGACGTGTATACTGTATATATATTTTTGTGCAATTTATGAACCAAAATGGGATTTGGTACAAAATAGTATTTAATTTTATTTATGGGTATGATTCAGACGGGTTGCAGTGCAGTTGTGGTCGGTCATTTCACTATGGTAATAGAAGTGTTTAAAGTACAATCTTGCAATTTTAAGGCGTTACTTATAATTGTAATAAATTTTATTAATATCCTATTACGTTAGGGATCAGAGGCTTCTGTGATAAAATCCATATTGTTTGATATTTAAGCCTTTATAATTTTCTCTGAACCTTTTAAAATAGATAAAGGTGTCCCTTAATTTATTACCCGGCCCCAAGGATCTCATTACCCTCTCCTTCATAAGTCTTCAACATATACTGTACATTGAAATGCTAAGTTTTAATGCTTTTTGAAGGCCTCTGTTAGAATGTAACTCCCATGTCTGGACTTGCTTGAGCAGCCATCTCAAGTATTCAAATGTTTTGTAGGAGTAAATTTTCACAAGTTAAACTATGATGAATTATAAGAGTTGCTTCATTGTTACTTGCACCATTTCTCTTGTCTCTCTCTCGCTCTCTCTCCTCTCATATTCTATTCCTAATTTTTGTCTGATTTTGAATGGCAGGAGAAACATGGAGATGGTATAGTTATGCAATGAATTGACTAAAAAATAAAATGTGTAGTTTGTGAAAATTATATGCACAACCTCATTTTAGAGGTTATTTTTATGAACTTATTTGTATCAAGAATGCAGTAAAAAAACAAAACAAAAAGCAAAATGCTAGTTTTATTAATGCAAGCTTATTATTGTACCTGGTAAAATTGCAGCCTATCATATCTGATATGATATTATATATATATATATATATATATATATATATATATATATATATATATATATATATATATATATATATATATATATATATATATATATATATATATATATATATATATATATATAAATTAAGACCAAGCTAAATAAATTTAATGAATAAAAAGATGATTCCCGCATTGCAGAAATGCATGCTAATACAGTAAAAGAATATAGGTATGGATATTGATGCTACATATGTGAAATTTATTAACAGCCAAGGTCAGCCATGTGAAAGCATTTGTTACACTTTGGTGGGAAAAAGCAAGAATGTCATGATAAAAACTGTTATTGACTTGGATTTCCCACATAATGACAATAGGAAGATCAGTAAAGTACTGACAAAGTATCGAGATACAGACTAATATTAAAACAGCCTTGCACATTTACATGTGAACTATCATAATCATGTATAACATATTATCATGGCTTTCTTCATGCAGTAAGTTAATGTAATCAAACCACCTCAATACATGGTTAAATCTTGAAATTTGTAAACTTCCTCATCCTGTTTACAACATGATTCCATATTCTATCCCTATCCTGTATGGGTTGATGATTTCCTTTTCAGATTGCCAATCTTTTGATTCCTCATGTTCGGGGCAGTGTTAGCTTATTCGCTTTAATCTTGAATGAGAAGCCTTTTTAACCTAAACCCCCAAAAAATATACTTTATCTTCTCAGACAAGTTGAAATAAATAGTATACTGTAATTTGAAATCAATAATTACAAGCAACAAAAATAGTGAAGATACTAGTAATCTTTAATTGTGCTTATAATATTTTTTGAACCAACTAAGTGTTCATCTTGGCTTAATTTTAGCAGTGACAGTGTGAATAATACTACTATCAATTTACAGGTCATGCTCCCAACTTGACTAGCTTTGCTAGCAGGCATTTGCATGAATTTCTCATTAATTCCACACACACTGAGGTATTTTAAAATTAATCTTTAGCTTGCAATTGGACAAACTTTACTCTTGCCACCTTGGCTCTTGGAATTTTTTATCTTTGTGAGTATATTTTTCTTCCCTTCGTGTCACTTTTAATTTATGTACAATATACAGTAACATTATTTTTATCACAGAACAGCATATATTTCTATAATGTAAACTCTTGCATCAACACCTCCATTTATGTATCGGTAGATACCTATATGGACATTACATTACATTGGTATTCTCAATACGGTGTAATGTCAATCACCCTTCACACAAGTAGCTCAAGACACATGACCCACTTCATAGAACATTAAAAACCAATTCTCTGTTCATAAACACTAAATGGTCCACTCCACTCATTTTGGTAAACTGCTTTCTCATGTTCATAATGACCACATACAAATTCAATTATTTTCTTCACCAGATGTGTTTTACAATGTGATCTATATGACTACATCCATAGATCCACTTTGTTAACTTTGCGGTACTAGCCTGCTGTGTGTTCACTTTTGTGCACTCGTCTGGCAGTGCCATTCATGATTTCTGGCAAATTTCCACCTTTTCCAGTCCTTTTTTTTAACATCTGTACCTGCAGTTTTAAAACAAAGCATTGCACTAATACTTAAGTTACATGGATATGTGAACTTCTTGCATAAAACCAATAAGGTTCTTTCTTACAATTTTTGTATATTCTTCCAATCACTCAAAGTACTAGTTCCTCTCGAATTTTATTTTATCAATTGCTAAATATTCTCTGATGCTTATCTTTAGCACTCGAGTCAGAGTATTACTCAACTTGCTGCAATTGATTTTTTTTATATTTTCTGAACAATTAAATTTTCAACTTTTCTAACCTTTCATGCAGCTTGTACTGTTTGATGGTCTCGAGTCATTTACCTCATGATATCATTCACTTTGTTAAACTCTGACTATTCTTATTCACCCTACTTGTGTTCCTCCCAGTTAGTGCTATTGTACTTGGAGATAGCTTTATAACAAACGTCCAAGAAGTGTAAATATGAAAGACTGGCAAGGAAAGTACATGAAATGGTAGAATACTAGAAGGGATAAAACTGGTTAAAACAAGAAAATCAGAGTTGTCCTAAACAGGAATGAAATACTAGAGAAATGTGGGGTAAGCTCGGTACTGCAAGTTAACATTTTGGGGCCAACCCTGTCATACACAGTACATCAGTGACATAGATGGGTAATAATATAAATCACATCAAATTTGCAGATGACCCTAAAATTTAATAATCATTTTTTTTGGGAGGACAAGAAGCCAGTTTATATGTACAGTACGTATTGGGCTTACATCGATGTCCCACCCCTTTCTCTCCCGAGGGTAGAATTACTGACCCTCCCTAGAATGCAACCCCACTAACATCTGGGTACCTATTTACTGCTAGGTGGGCAGGGGCATTGCATGATATGAAATGTGTCCAACCATTTCTGTTCTGCCTGGGATTCGAACCCAGAGTTTTCAATCGAGTCGAGAATGAACATGACTACAACTGTGGTAAAGTAGGTAGTAAAATTTTTATTGAGTCCTTACAAAGATCTGTGAACTCAAGTGGTCAGAATATTAGTAGATACTTTATTATTGAAAAATCCAATATGCATATGGAAAAAAAAGCTTTGCATGTAGGGCGCAAAAATGCACATGACAACTACCAAATCAACATACCTGGCAGCAGAGTGATGAAGACCTTGGAGTCAATATCCACAAATTAATGAAAGTTGCACAGCAAGTGGAAGCTGTAGTAAAAAAAAATATATATATAAAGGCTAACCAAATCCTGGCGCAGTACCTGTAAATCAGACATAATTGGCTACGTTTCCTAGAGTCAAAGTTATTGAACTGTAAATCTCTGGTGCACCCTCACTTTGATTATTGTATCCAGGAATGGAGACCTTGTTTTCAGAGGCATGTGTTTTGGATAGAGTTTATCACTGAGCGACTAAAATCATTCCTGAAGTAAACAAACTCCCTTACCATAAACGTTCCATATTGGTTTATCCAAAAATGCTTTGCAGAATAGTGGCTTCATTTGTATGTGTAACTTCTGTCACCACAATTATATATTACTCCTATTTTTCCTTGTACACACATTCTTTTGAATATAAACTTGAATTTGAACTATGAAGTAAAGACTATGACTACATTCACAAGTTGTGTGTGTTTGTGAGCATGTTACAGTTGTGGATTTATGAGAAACGACGATCAATGTCAGTTACTCTGTACGAACGTTCTCATTTTAAGTTGCCAGTTAGGCATCATCATGTAATTTACGGGCTTTGTATCTCCTGTTATCAGGAATGACGCCACAGTCGTCTGGTGAAGAAACACTCAGTGTTGTCGAGGCTTCCTTACACACCACTACTACACTGCCACTCCACTCTACAGGTAACGAGTATATTGTCATTTATGGTCTGTAACGTTAAGGCCGCTCAAATACTTTTGTGACGAACTAACAAGTTTGGTAAAGAGTTTAATATATGGCCTGTCTTTAGGCTCGACACCACTAAAAAATCATACTATTACAAAGTTACTAAGGTGCGAATATTGGGCGTGACGAGAACAGGCTGTATCTCTTGCGGTCCCGATCTTGTCATAGAAAGTGAACTTAAAAAAAAAAGTCTTTCACAGTAAAATATGAATACTGGACAAAGTTAAGCATGATGTAGAAGGAGTGTAAGAATAAATGGTGGTTATTAGTGTAGTTTCCAATTTCGAAATATTTGCCTAAATTTGAGGGCCACCACGGCCCCTCATAATGTATTCACCTAGTTGGGTGAATTGGGTAATTTAAAATGTGTGTTTACTCTTTGTGACCTTAATGTGACCAATGACTTAGAAGTTGTTTTTTCTTTAAAGTTAACAATCAGTGGATAAATGTTTCGAAAACTTCGTAACTTGATTTTTTTTATTAGCAAAATTAGGTATACACAGCAATGTGCTACTACCCTATTCTATGTCAGATATTACACGGCGTAGATCTGAGCCTCTGCAGTTTAGTTTGTCCAACAGATGGCTGGAGGAGCCGAGGCGGAGGATCAGGGTTGGATTTTCGTGGTGACGACCACGTTGGTGGTGGTCCTGGGCTCTGTCTATGTCTACCGCTGTGTGGTCAGGAGGAACAGAAGGTACGTTATGTGTAGGTCGGGGTTTTGGATATCCAGTGAATAAGATATAACGCCAAATGTAAATCAAATTTGAACGAAAAGCTGGAATGCTTCGGTGAGTATTTTGATTATCTCAACCAGTTTAAGATAAAAACGAAGCTATACCTAATAAATTCCCTGTAACCTACCTTACCCTTCTATTGTCAACCAATGTCTGTTTTTTCTTAAAGAGCGCTGTTTGTCGACATATTTGTATTTGTGCTGCTTTTTCAGCTATGTTTTCATTTCTTGTTTTCATTCTACTCATTATGCTCAATTAGTATTAAGCTTGTCATTTAAGTTTATCATGCCCAAAACGCTTTGCGTAATAGTGGCTTTAGGCATTGTATGTACTAGCTCTACCTATAAGTCAACCAATCTTTGTAAAAATTTACTGTATGTATGTACCTTACCTAAATAAACATTTTATTTTATTTTATTTTATTTTTTTTTTTAACAAACTGACGTTGACATTGAATGGAAAGCTTTGTTTCATGTTAAGTTAAGAATTCTCAAATCTTCTAAAATCCCAATCTCATGATGGTTTATCGGTCATATTTTGTAGCGAGCACTAGCAAACTTTTCGATAGATCAAGACTTAACTTTTCGATAGATTTGTCATCAACCACATTAGAATGGATAAATTATTTGCAGAGTTTTAAGTCTTGCAAGCCTACTGGTCTTTAAATAATAAATTATAATAACGGCAAGAAATCCTGTCATCCAAAAATTTTAAAAGTGATACAAGTAAGACTGTCAGTAACATGTTAACATAGATATTTATATGCAAGAAGGTACAACTGGTTGTAGAGGTATGTTGGTGATAAGTGGTACATTCTTGCAAAGCTACCAACACGTATAGCGTTTCGGGCAAGAAAAATTAGATAAAACAATACTTATTATTTACAATATTACAATAAAGTTCCGCAGTTCCAAACGCTGGGGACGAATGGGTGAAAACAATACAGGCAACAACCTTGCTAGCACCACTGATCACCAAGAAATTAATCTGTGAAAATATATGAAAAAGGGTGGCATCACTCAAAGTATTTTGCACATTATTTAACTAAATATTCACACTCGATGCACTTTAAATAAAATAAATAGGAGCACTAACATTACCTGCAACAACAAAACATATATAGTTGGAAAATGTACAGTAATACTTAAATGTACCGGGACGAGGGATTAACACTTCTTGTTCCACAGTCCACACAGCCATTGATTATTTAAGCTAGAACAGGGGAACAATTCAGATTCGGCCCCTTCTTTAGTTGCGAAAGCTTAAAGACTGCCTTTTAAGCCAGCTTACCTGGAAATAGTAGGCAGCAGTCTTATACATGTATATGAAATAATGCTAATATAAAATCTTCTCAAAATACATATGTTATCTGAATATAAGACTACACAGGGGAAAGTAGCAACATTCTCTTCTTCCCCCCTCCTCAGTGTACTCGAGCGATGACCGAGTCAAGATGGGCATATATCTTATAATTATTTCCTAACGCTAAATTTCTTATGATATTTACATCTTATACTAACTAGTCTTCTTGACAATTCTTATGCAAGTGATCCAACCCACCATATATATTACATTACAAACTCTGTATACTCGTAATGTCTCTGGATTTATATAAGCCTACATAAACTTGTATATAATCTACAGAATATTACATATTAATCATTCATTGTTTACATGCAGTATTATAGTAATAATAAAATCAAAGTAGACAGTGATATTCAATTAAAACATCAATGTAGCCTGGCCTGTTAATGTTGCCTAGGAGCTGTTAGTAATATACTTACTCAACGTCCCATTTGCATATTTAATGCTGAATTTCCATATAGCGAATATAACTTTAACTTTATCACTTGCCAACTACAATATGCATATCAACAGACGCTTTCACATTCAAGTTTGGCCTAGTCATGACACCTTGAATAGCCTAGTCATAACGTACAGTAATGATTACGTGTACATATTTCAAGTTCTGTTCCTTAGTTTGCATATCAAATACTCAGGATTAGATCAGTTACCTGCCACAGGTAACGGTAACCCAACATGATTGTCTAATATTATGCTTTACGGATATTTTTTTATTTGCAAATTTTGTTTTGAACCCATTCAAATTTTTAACACAAGTGCTTGTTCTATGACAGTTTCACAGTTCTCTCCTACCACTTGGGCTGGACTGTAGAGCTACGGTCTCGCTTCATGCAGGTCGGTGTTCAATTCCCGACCGTCTAAGTGGTTGGACATCATTCCTTTTTCCCCCCCCTCCACGAGTGAGAGCCATGGCCCCGGGGTGATGTAAGCACCATGACCTCGGGGAGATAGTGACGCACCAGAGGCCATCTATTACTGTACCTTGCAGTGACTAAATGTGTGAAAAACTTGATCACCAATAATAATTATTACAATAAAAACAGGACGGTACCATTTTAAGACATCTTATTGTAATAAGACAGAATTTGACAGCCCATCGTCCTGTTTTGATAGTACTTAAAGTAATGATGAGGACCATAGTATATATACCGACGTACAACGAAACTAGAAAGTTGAATCCTAAACTATTGAGTTGGACAAAGCAGAAAACATTTTTTTACTTGTGTTGCTTTAATAAACTAAACTAACTCAACCTCCCTAGGCCTAATACACGATATCCGAGGCATGATATAGTATATATGTGTGCTATATTAGGATATTAGGCCTAGGAATATTTAATTTTATGTTTTAGCTTCATTTATTTTAAAAGAATTCCTGACTAGTCAGTATACTACTATCTAAAAGCTAAGTACCTACAAAGTCGTGACTATTGACGATCGTCTCAATGGGTACTATCTGCCCTGGAGGATGAGATGGTATTTAGCATAAAACCTCACCCCCCCCCCCCACCCTTAGTCAGGACATAGTTTGATTGGGTTTAAAAAGTTTTATTCATACCAAATTTAATTTTGTTTAAATTCTGGCTGGATTAAACAAAAAGTACATACAACCTTATGCTTAAATATTAAGGCAAATTTAATAACATGCAGCTTATAATTTGAGTGACATAAATTAACAAAACATGGTATAAAATTTGACAAGACTTTCAAAAAAGATACAGCATGAATTTGGTAATTTTCATTGTCTATAAATTACAAGGGATATGTAACATAGAAAACTAATTATGACATGAATATGTAAAAAAAATTCTACATTGGCAGACTCAGTGCTAGTCAGAATTAAACTCGGGTTGCACAATTTTATATCGGGAATCTGACGTAAACAGGTTTTAAATGGCTTGCCAACATATTATAATACTGTATGTAGGATATACATAGCAACCTTTTTTTCATTACAGAATTACAGATGAGGCATATTTGAGGTCAGGCACACCACGTTCAACACAGCCGTCCTATCTGGTCGCTTCCTCTCGCGTCAGGATGTCAGACCACAAGGCCGACATGTCAGAGAAAATATTGCAGCAAGCTGCTGATTGTGCGACTGAGGATATTAAAAGTTCAACATACGCTTTTCGCGACTTAAGCGTTTCTCCCCTTTTCTTCACTCTTTCTTTCATTACAACTATTTAAGCTTTGCTTCCATCACGTGTCTCTTAACTCCATGTTCGCAGGAGGAAGTGGCGTCAAGCAGGTGAGAACGTGGTATTGGTACACTGCTTTCGACCTGGCTTCTTCACCCCCTGTGTGTCGCCCTTCGTTATGAAACTATTAACTTACCTCAGACTGGCGCAGATACCTTATAAGGTACAGTCATACATGCGCTGTTCTGGTGGCTGCACTATTGCAACATATTGAAGTGGCTAACCAGACATAAATAAATTAGTTATTGCATGTCAGGTTAAATGGAACTACAGCTGGAGTGTTTGTTAATCGGTGGGTTTCAGTTTGAGCTAGAATAAATGTTAAGTAAAATTATATACGAGATTATTATATGCATAGACTGCGTTGGTGTTGATATATAGTAAATTATAGGAGATATACCGAGTATTAATATCTAAAAATTATATAGCATGCTTGCACCTTTCCACCTCTACGTCGAGCGTTACTTCAAGCCTTGTGGTGCTGCAGGTGGAGCATGAAGAGCCCAAGGGGAAGCTTGGCTTGTCCCCGTGGGTGACGCTCAACGGGGAGGAGCTGACAGACTCACAAATAGTGATAGAAAGACTCGCCCAACATTATGGCAAAAACTTCAGCAAGAGGTTGACGGAGGAGCAGCGGGCGGTGGCTTGGTCCTTCACTATCATGATAGACGAACACCTCTGCTGGTAAGAGCACAATGGTTCATAATTGTGTTGAAGTGAATTGTAGCAACACGATGACCCAGTTAAATATATTGCGTATCTTAGACTGGAACCATGTTCATGCAGTCATCTAGACTACCACAACCACTCCTGTTTAGATTGTAGTTTTTGTAACTATGTGCACCATAGTGCAAATATTGACGTACTAAGCAATTAGTATAACTACTATTCACTTTATAAGAGTTCGAAAAAAAGGAAGCTAAAAAACAATCAAATATTCCAAGGCTTAGTATAGCACACATATGTACTATGTTAGGCCTCGGATACCGTGTATTAGGTGCAGGAAAGTTAGGTTACGTTAATTGTTTGCCTTTCAACATAAGTAGAAAATTGTTTTTCCGGTTTGTTCCAATTCAATAGTACCGATTTCTATTTTCTACTTGAGTTGTACGTCGGTATATGTACAATGGTCCTCATCCTTCCCATAAGTAGTGCCGAAAGAGGAGGATGGGCTGGATTCCATCCTCCTCCTTAGAGGTTAAGTGTGAAAATCGTCCAGTGTGCCACATAAACTTGGCCAGTTGCATCTAGATCTTGTATTTTTATTGTTATTTCCATTTGTAGGTGCCTGAGGGAGTGGCGGTTTAAGGTGGACAATGGAAGGACACTTGTGGAGGGTATGCGACACCTGTGGTACGTGCACCTCTTTAAGTACTTCTTCGTGGAGTCCAGGAAACAGACGCTGTGGCATCAAGGCATTGGGAGGCACTCTCACTCTTGGGCCTGGAGCCTCACAAACAAGGATCTACATGCCCTGTCCTCTTACCTTGGTAACTAATAATCTGTAAATGTCTGTATAAGCGAGCTATGCAATCGGGAGAAGAGGAAAGACTTTGTATCCAACGAAAACTAACCTGGTCTGGAACTCATCGGATATTTGTAAGTAGAATACCCGGGATACTGTGGAGGTTTGGCTTTGTTCTATAAGTAAAAGAGTAAAATATTGTGATTGGATGTAATGTTCTTTTCAGCGACCCTCTTTTTTCCTAATGTTTATGAGATAAATTTTTTTAGGCAAGTTTGTGTAGTGCTCGCAAAAACGTAGGGTATTATCAGATAACGCATTAGCTATTAAATATACTGTAAATTGCCATGTTAATGAATGAAGTAGATTTGTGGAATCAGGATTCAAAATGCCCTGAAATAATTTTAGTCAACATGCTCTTAGAATGTACACTTTCGGTGGTGGATGTTTGTGCGCGTGCGTGTCTGGGTTAGTTACTGTGCACAGCCCTGAGATCAGATATGCATGCATCACAGACTTAATAGTTTCTGCAAGTATTAGTCTAGACTATGAGGAAAGGGGGGGGGGTAGAAGAGGGATACTAGTCCAGTCATTCTGACTTTACAGTACTAAAATGTTACCTGATGAATGTCCAGACTCTTCACGGTTGTTACCCCTCATTTTTAGAATGACCTTTTAGTATGGTATGTTGAAACACCAATTATCACAAAAGCAAGTACGGTTAATTTTTTGTGTATTATCAAGACAACTTTAAACTTTTTAAGTTGACTGCATTAGCATGTTTCATGAAAATAAAGTATTTTTATGTATCTTTTCCTGGTGTCTTGCTAGATTTTATTAAAGTTTCGTCAGAGGACACAAGAGTAAAATGATGTAACTTTTGTCACATCATTCGTGAAACTGCTTGATTTTTGACATCGAAAGACATTAATCTATTGCCATGCTGTTGGTCTACAAGATGAATTCAGTATAAAACTCTATGTACACAGTACTTCATATAATTTGACATTTGATTGCTAAAACATGATTGATGTCGGTGGTTCAGGCAAGAAATCTTACCTGATGGGGGAGGAAGCGAGCGAGGTGGACTGCTCCATGTTTGCCTTCCTCTCCAACATAATGTACAACTACCGGCGCTCCCCCTACTACACCACCATCACAGGTTAGTGCACCACTTCACTTGCTCTCTGGGCTGGGTGAATTGTGGGAGTTTGAGATTTTTTTGTGCTGCTCTCTTTAGTCCTGGACTATGTTGAGGACTGAAGTATACTTTGTTTGGTCTGTAAGCTGTGGTGGTGGTCATAATTACCATCCCAACGTTGATAGGCCTAAAACTGAACATCAGATCGCAGTATTTGCCTAAATCAGTATATCATGATTAAAATAACATGTTTTCGGGGGCTAAGTACTTTCGTGGTAATCACTTCAAGATTTCCTACGTAATTAATGCTTTCATGTACTTCCTATCGTTTTGGTTATGTTAAGGATTGGTTTGGTTTGGTTTGTCTAGGTTAGGCTACTGTATTACATCCTCAAACATGTGAAACGTGAATCTAGTCTGCTTGAGTATTGAGGGCTTAAAGATAACTAGTATTCCAGAGCCTGGTCTATTTTAAAACCTGGATATATACTAAAATAGTTATAAATTGAGAGACTACCTTGCCAGTTTATAAATACTGTTATTGGAGCCTTAGGAGTATGACAGATATCCAAGTAATTTAACGAGGAAGGCCACTCAGTAGACTGCCTCCCTTAGGACTGAGGATAGACTGGATTAAAGGCAGAATTTAAACAGAAATGAATATATATCCCGCTTATGTTTCAGAGGACTGTCCGAACCTGAAGGCATACGTTAAGCGGGTGAAAGAACGTCTCTGGCCTGACTGGAATCAATGTTTGGATCAGTCGTGACCACACCTGCAGTGGACAGCTTCCACCTACAGTGTAACCAAAACCTCGATGCATTAGAATCCTCCGCGTGTCACTGTAGTTCTGCAGAAATATGTAATTTTTACCACTTCATATGTGAACTTAATACATGCAAGGATTGATAAAACAAATACATAATTAAAGCATTCACCAAAATGGTGTAATTATGAAATGTTATATTAAATCTTAAACTGAGAATTTACTATTATAATTTTGTATTGGAAGGTAGAATATCTATCATTGATCTGTAACTACTATCTCTAATACCATAATAAACTGACAAATTATGACCTTTTGTAATTGGCTAAAGAAAAATAATTGCTCTCCAAATAATAACTACAAGTCTTTATTAGCTTCATACATCTTGCTAATTTTAAGACTTTTCTTATGTGAATTCCAAACTAATGTACTTGAAAGCCAGTCCCCCAATTTAGGTCTTTGACAATAATATTAAGTTAAAGCTTAATTGTTGTCTAAGATTGTGCTTTAATGTAGTATTTAAATTGAATACACTAAGGTAAACAACGTAATAAAATTATATAATCGTTTCTCAGACACTTTACACCACATTCTACTTGGTATTTAAGTCCTGTTAACAGGGACAGAATATACAAGCTGAATAACTCGCGGTTAAAACTATTAATCCCTATCCAAGGGATAATGCCTAGACATAAGATATAATAATTATTTATTTGATCCCAGATGGTTAAGTGGTTGGGCACCGTTCTGGCCTATCCCAGATCCTTGTCCTAGATCCTTGTCTAGATCTATCCCTTCCAAGTGCTATATAGTCGTACTGGCTTTGCGCTTTCTCCGCATAATTACCTCACTTTTTGTTATATTTATAAAATTATGAATATTGTACATAGCTTAATTACATTTTACAAAGATCAATAAAAACCTGATGTGTATAATTTCATCCATTGCTGCTGCTTTGAGATTTAAAATATAAAAGGCATCAATCGCTTGATGTTTACCTTACTTTCCAGGAAAAGGAGAAGACAAAGCCTCACTTTGGACCTATGGACCGCGTTAGGAAGATGTTGCGGCATGGAAGGGTGTCCTGTGGAGACTTTGGAGCGACACGGCAACGGCAGTAAGCTGTGGCAGTGCAAGTCACTGCGTTGCTGGAGAAAGGGGGGCTCCAGCTGGGGCCTACAAGCTATTGTTGACCCAGGGAGGTCGTGAAGCGTTCAGACCCCGGAATAAATCAGCGCGGGTGTTGGGGAATGATGGAAAGGGACTCAGTAGTACAGTTTCTGGGGACCAGTCTTGTCTATAAGATCGGCAGGGAACATGTATCAGCATTACGGGCTATTCATGCCCGTGCCACCTCTTGGGTGGCTTAATCTTAATAAATCAATCTGCATCAGCAATATAGGTTCCACTCTTCTGTACTCAGTGGGTCAGAGCAAAGCTGTCTGGGCGGTTCTTGTGACTGGTTCCATAGTGGTGTTGAGGTTTGTCTACATAGGCATGTCTTACGAAGAAAACGCCAGTGCAGACGAGTAAGAGAACCCTTGTGACACACATAAGGGTCATCTTAAAATACCAATCACTAAACAGGAACGGTTACCTTACCTTGAGATTACCTTGCGATGATTTCAGGGTTCAACGGGCCTTAATCAGACCTCCTGGACATCGTCATAGAGACAGCGTCGTCGTCATCATCGCATCGTCATCGTTGAGGGGCAGGGACCTTTCCTCGACCGTCCTTCATTGGTACATGTTTAGCATGGCTGTCATAGTATAAGAGCCGACGAAGCAAGTGCTGATAAGATTACTAAGAAAATGTTCAACAAATTCAGTTTGTTGTACAAATTTATCGTATACAGTATGTTTCCTATCTTTTTATGTATAAATTAAACTTCTTATTAACATTATTAAATATAGTGCTGAATTGTGAATTATCATTCACTTTAAAGTTTTGTTTTAGTTCTTGGTCGCATTCTCGAGTGTTGTGGGGTACATTGATAAGTCCTGCTTAACAATGCATCTTGAGTGTTACCTTTTGAGGACCACCACTGTCAAGGGTCAGCACTTATAAAGTGTTTGTCTTCATTAAAGTTTGTGTCCTGCGTGAACTTATTTAATAAGTGCAGAATTTGAATACACCCTAATGAATCTTGAAATTTTTGTGGCGTATGGGAAGTAATTATCAAGAGAATGGCGTATGGGAAGTAATTATCAAGAGAATGGCGTATGGGAAGTAATTATCAAGAGAATGGCGTATGGGTATTATATTTCCGTTGAGGCACCAGGTTCAATGCAGTAGTCGGGGTGTAAAAGGCTTGAAGCTTTCACTTTACATACCTTGTCTCAAATCTAACCTCTACTGGCTTTATATATAATCGTTTAAAAACCAGTCCCCATTTACTGCTGGGTGATAAAGAGCAAGCATTTAAGGATCTGTACCCAGTTGACACTCCCTACCCATAGCTCTAACCTGGCCGAAATAGCTCGCGAGAAAGAAAATTGAAGAGGCTACTGGCTTTGAGAGGGAGAGTTGTGGAGGCTACTGGATTTAGAGGGAGTAGAGGTTAATGGGTTGAGGGGTTGTTGTTGTAGAGGCTGTTGGGTTGAGGGGGTTATTATGGAGGTGAATGGCTTCAGTGGAATAAAGACGCTTATGGTATGTGCCGGTGTTCAGCCCGTTCACTTGATTTACTACAACGTACAAAATATAGGAAATTAGAACGCACGAACCTAGGCCACGCACGTCTGTGCCAGGTAAGTACGACGAGCTCACCATAGCCCGTGCTACTTGGAACGTCTTGTTCCGAGTAGCCGAATTTAAAACAAACAACAACTCAGGCCACTCATCAAACCTAACCAATCTACACAGAAAACATAGATGTTTGTGAACTCTTACTTCTCATAGTACCCCTTATTTTGTACATTGGAGACCAGAGTGCACAAACTGAGGTAATATTTTTGTTGTAAATTGATGTATATATGACCTTTATATTGTATATTATATAATAATAAGCAAAAAAAAAAAAGTTACCACCCACAATGAGGGTCCCTGTGTGATAGATCAATCACGAAAAGAAAACGGGACATCACATCAGTTTTCCAATTTTAATGTCAGTTTTGGCCTTAGGGGATTTATACGTCAAAATGCGATGTACTATTCAAGAGGACGGATTGGATATATATTAATACTGTGCACCTAGTAATAGAGGTATGAACTGGAGAAGCGCCATACAATGTAGAGTGTCAGAGGCGCGCGTCATACATACGAGGCGCGCGTCATACATATTTGGCGCGCGTCGTGCACGCCAGTGTGGGAGGCGCGCGCCACCCGTCACGACGTATGGGTCAAGTCGCCATAAGCTTCGGAGAAGTGAACACTTGACCTACATTCTATCCTTGAGAGTTATGGACTTGCGACTCGGAGAGCCCGCCGTCGCTGACAGGTAATTTAATTTAAAAAATTCTTTTGTCATTAATTTTTTTTGTGGGGGGAAGTATCTGCTTTCCCAGAGCAGCAGACGATAATACTCTCATCGAAATCTTTATTTGTACAATTGCATTATGTGGCTAGAGGTTAGGACAATTTGGCAGTTGATGTCCGGTAACGGAACTAGGCATCTTGGCAGTTTTGGAAGTGACGCCACTGGTAACATCATGGCTCTTCGGCCCACGTCAGACTTTTGGCGCTGCGCTTGGTCGAATACGTTGGTTATGTTATAGCGCTCTGTTATCATGCCCCTTAATACCTTGGACCTGCATCCCAGCAGTGCAGTGCCCCTTGGACCTGTATCCCAGCAGTGCAGTGCCCCTTGGACCTGTATCCCAGCAGTGCAGTGCCCCTTGGACCTGTATCCCAAGAGTGCAGTGCCCCTTGGACCTGTATCCCAAGAGTGCAGTGCCCCTTGGACCTGTATCCCAAGAGTGCAGTGCCCCTTGGACCTGTATCCCAACAGTGGAGTGCCCCTTGGACCTGTATCTCAACAATGCAGTGCCCCTTGGACCTGTATTCCAACAGTGCAGTGCCCCTTGGACCTGTATCCCAACAGTGCAGTGCCCCCTTGGACCTGTATCCCAACAATGCAGTGCCCCTTGGACCTGTATCCCAACAGTACAGTGCTCCTTGGACCTGTATTCCAACAGTGCAGTGCCCCTTGGACCTGCATCCCAGCAGTGCAGTGCCTCTTGGACCTGTATCCCAACAGTGCAGTGCCCCTTGGACCTGCATTCCAATAGAACAACGCCCCCTGAGCCTGCACCCAAATAGCGTAGTGCACAATAAGCAGTATCGCACGACCGGTGACGTCAGCAGCAGCAGCCGTATTGTTCAGGTGTTGGTAACAACAATGCCCGCAACACAATAATTATGGTGTCAGCTGCTCAGACAACTGGAGGTTTATGGTGCGTCCCAAGTTCACAACAAGGAAAGGGTTGAACTGTGATGCATGGCAGTACTGCAGTTGTCTCAAACGCATCACACATTTGGTATATTTCGATGCTGGGAAGTCTGTATGGTAGTAAACATATCCATGTAAGCATAACGGTGACTGACACGACAATTCGAACAGGAAAGTTAGAAATTAAGTGCTGGTATACCAGTGGGCAGGGCATAAGAGGTATACTTGTAGTCGTTGTTAGGTAAGCACTGTAGACAAAAAGGGTATATAACCCAACTCTTGTTGTGGCAGTTTTTGTTCTATCATAGACGTGGACATTTACACACTGCTAACCATCATACATATAATTTATTTTGTCGTCCGTGGAAAGGGTTAGAGATCTATTTTAATACTTATAGTGTTGTGGAGTAAGGAGGCACTAAGCCGCAGAATGTGAATGAAGTGCTTTTACAAAAAAAAAAAAAAAAAAATACAATTCTAACTAGCATATATATCAGTGTGAGGGGTGTGAGGAAGGGTGTGCTCCCAGAGATAGTGGGTGGGGCGGTTACAATGGAGTCCAGTCCTCCCCCCTTCCCCGCTTCCCGTCCCCTCAACACACACTAGGGAGCTGGTCAAAAGAGCAACGTGGGTTCTCAGGGTCTCAGTAGATCTTAGGACATTGTGGTGAAGAGTACCTGAAGCCTGGTCTCGTGAACTGGGAATGATCATAATTATTGTGATTATTGATTTATTTGCTATCAGATGAGTATCTGCAATATGGACAGCTTGTGTTATCAAGATAAGTTCTTAACCACAAATTTTCCATAATCTTTATTTTTTTGTGTCCAGTTTGTGTAATTCTAATAAAATACACATGTTGATAAAATAATTTTACGAATTGTGAGAGTACTGTGAATTTGTAATATATTAAAACTGGTAAAGGGAAATATATATACAATACAACTATGCCGTTGAGGACAGTGGATAACAGTTCACATCACAGTCAAAGTGCCATTATCATTCCAAAGTATCAGCGAAAGAAAAAAAACTATAAATATATAAAAACATGGTCATGTGTTTGGCTTGAGGGTGGACAGGTTTGTGGTTGCCTGAGTGGCGTTGGCATAGGTGAGAGGACTGTGTGCAGCGTTGGCAGTACTGGCCACAGTACACTAACCAAGTGACACACTAGACCACATTGCATATTAGAACCAGATGGAAACTAGGCAGAGGCTAGGTGATACACTCAATTACGCCAGGTAACACTAAACAGGTGATACAAACGCCATGTGACACCTAAGCCAGGTGATACTCCCCCCCTTTCCCCACACTGAAATGACATCCCCGTATTGGTTACACTGTTACGGGATCTATGGTTAGTTCAATCTTCCATAAACAGTTGTCTAGGGCTAAAACCTCTTGCTGTCACACGGTGCACCTCGAGTCTGTACAACGTAGCCTACTCTTAGAGGTAACCTCGAACATGACAGTTATCTTTAGATTGTTTTCTGACTGCAGCATTCCACTAACCATGTGACACTCCCGGCCATGTGACACTTCTGGTCATCTAACCAGAAACTATATTCAGAAACCTAAATACAAAACTCATTGTAGGAAAAGAGGACTATTATGGATTACAGGTGTGTGCTAATTACGAATCTGCGCATTCCGCATTCACAGTACTGTATATTTGTATGAATACCAATGATAAGTAAATTATATTTAGTAAATCATTGTTGGGTGAAGGCAGACACCAAAGACTGGACGAGGTTAGTGGTCACCCTCCCTTCCTAGACCCGCCGCCATGGCTCGGGTACATGGCGCTTGATGTCCAACTAATGTAATTATTACATATTTAGCTACAGTGGTAACATTTACCTGGCAGCGTGTGTAACTATTTTCAGAACACATATCATTAAATAAGCACGACCAGGACATATACATTTATGGTGTAATGCAGTGTTTATGATATTGAAAATTATAATAAATTTAATCACCATTGGGAAGCGATGATCTGCTGATATCTTCTTTTCCTCCCTCCTCTTTCTCCTCTTCTCCATCGACCACCTTCTCCCCTGGTCGTCTTCCTCCTTCTCCCTGGTCCTCCTTCCCCCTTCACGGATGTCGGTGCCAACTGGGTAATAATAACAGCCTAATGATTATACGCTGACAATTTTGCTCCTATCCTCACCGTCTCCAGAAATACCAGGCTCCGGAATATAATCTTCTGAGATAATATTCAGTTTTTTAATTTAGTTCATTTATTATGCACCCCCACACCCATCCTGTGGGCGGTAGTAGAAATGGTTACAGGGGTACATAATGGGCTCAGGAACTGAACCTCAAAATTCATTTAGCTAAGTTAGTTACAAAATTTAATGTATATTTTTACATCATCAGTGGTTCGAGAACAACCACTAGCACAATTTCTAAGATAAGCAACTTACATATGTGATGTAGTGTCATAATTGATGTTGTTCCTGCACGCCGTCCCCTATCCAATGGGCAACAGTGGATAGGTTACTCAAATTTACTACCTACAATTACCAAACTGGGGATATTTGGCGAAAGTTTCTGGTAGTAGGTAATTTTAATAAAATATTTACACTATATCTTGAACATTTCTTATAGAGTTGTTTTTAAATCCACGCATTTTCGCACTTCATCTCATAATGACGGAGGGTGTAATTTTGTAACTTCAACAATTTTGTTCACTAAGTTTACATTTGGTCAGGTCTACATCAGCAGGTAAGGAAAATTTCCAAAGATACCTATATCAGAATCTGTGCCGAGTAGTAGTAACATAGGAATCTGCTGATAATACTCATACATCGTAATTCTCATCTATCACCCGTATAACACACATCCTACAGCAGTTATAAATATTATTGACTACACCGCACGTCATTCCTGCCAAAAACTAGGGGACAAACTCGCTGGAGGAATCACTATGGGTGATTCCTCCATACTACCCAAATTTTTGGGTAGCTTGTTATCGTTGGACGTCAGTCTCCTAGCTTTCTGGTGGTGGTTCTTTGCATCTATAACACCTCTACATGTACATATTAAAAAATAATTTTGGAGCTATGCAAGTTTGCAAAAAAAAAAAAAAAATAGAAGAAAAATTGGAATGTGAAAACTCTAAATTTTAGAAAGAAAAAAAAAAAGCACACATCAAAATCAAACTTAACTTAGCTTAACCTATTCCTAGACTAGGTTAGATTAGGCTGTTAGGAATTGTTAAGTCTTAATTTTCCTCCCTAAATTTGTTCAGGTTCTTATTTTCAATTTATTTTTTTAGGTTTGTTGTTAGACTACATTGCTTAGTTTGAAGATGGAGTTCACAGAGGGTAGATATAAGCAGAGATGATGGGTTGAGATAAAAGATTATTGCGGTAACCTCAAGTTCCGTGCACTTGGTGCTTTCTGAAGCTGGGGCTCGGAGACCCTTACTAATACAATCCAGTTATCATTTATGGTATTTTAATCATACTGAGGTTCAGTAGTGAACAGTGATGAAAATTATATTTTTGTCACATGTTAGAATCTGGGATATTATTATTATTATTATTATTGAATGGTTTATTTCTTCACTTCACTGATAAACTAGTTCCGGATATTCAACTTAATATCTAATGTATATTAAGACATAATTACTTGATAACAACATTCCGCTTAAATATATTTTGTATTACGGACAGTCTCGCCGAAGTTTTGACGCCATATTTGATCTACAACTTTCCGTTCCAAACAAGAGATCCACTCCGAGGCACTTGTATCTCAGCAACCCTACCAGGAGATGAACAGTCTACCATTTCCGGTGAATGTATCCACAGTTGCAGCCAGTCACGTAACACAAGCCAGAACCGTCAAGCATGTGAGAGAGGTGTGTGTGTGTGTGTGTGTGTGTGTGTGTGTGTGTGTGTGTGTGTGTGTGTGTGTGTGTGTGTGTGTGTGTGTGTGTGTGTGTGTGTGTGTGTGTGTGTGTGTGTGTGTGCGCGCACCTATTTGTGACAGCAGGATCGAGCTCCTAGCTCTCTGACCCCACCAGTTCTCTAATGCAATGACTCGATTTAATTTGTATATATCAACTAGGGTAACTACTGAACATCTCCATTTATATATATATATATATATATATATATATATATATATATATATATATATATATATATATATATATATTGTGCGAACCATTAAGTGTTCAAATTGACCCAGTGTATATTAATATTTTGTGTATTGTTCCTAACCCAAATCAAGAAACCTATCCCCCCCTCTCAACGGGTCAATAATTCAGTTACAGGTAATGGTTTGGTTTGACATTGTTGGGGTCGGGAAACTGTTAGACTTATTAAGGTCCCCAAGGCCAACGATTGTCCTTTCATAGGATCCAGCCCACAACGGTTGACTAACTCCCAGGTACTTATTTACTGCTTGGTGAACAGAGGCATCGGTTTATAGGAATCTCCGAAACGTCTCGTCCTGTCAGAGAATGAACCGAGGACCAATCGGGTGTAAATCTACCTATAGTACGCCCCTCACATAGATCACACGAACTGTTCCCATAGACATTAGTTCATTTCGTTTTCTCTGAACCAAAACTTAACCTGATACTCATGACCTGAAAATACAACAAATACATACAAATATGGATTATTGAAAAATAAATTTATTTAAATTAATGTAAACGAACAACAAGAAAAATATTATTAATGAAATATATAAAATAATAAACATGAAATCAATACACATTAATAGATAGTTACGGTCAAATCATACACAAGCCTATTTACACAATTGTTAAAGCTGTAATATATGTAACAAAATTTATATATATATATATATATATAAACGTATGTTTGGATGGGTTGGATTAAGTTAGGAGAGGTTGACTTTAAAATTTGTTGGCGAACGTTTTTGTGAATTAAGTGACCTTTATTTAATGTATACGACTGGCTCTGAGGTGCTAAATTTAAATTTTTATTTTTTGAGTATTAAGCAGCACACGGCATACAAAAGTGAATGCAGGATAACGGAAACATAAATCAAAACACTCATTTGAAAAATCATAAATGAGAGTGTATGTTACCACATCACGAGCCGTCGCTGCCTTAACATTCAGCTAAAGTTCCGGGACTGTCTTACACTCCCACCCAGAGTCTGACCGCCACCGCCTTTCGCAACGTTGGCAACACTGCACAGCTGGAGGGTCTGGGTTTCTGAGATGTATTGAAATTCCTTTTATGTATAGTAAGATTTTGCTTATGGGCTGTTGTGACGATATTACGTGTACTCGTATACAAGTGTAGATGTGTATCACCATGAACACTCCCCCATCCACACACACACACACACACACACACACACACACACACACACACACACACACACACACACACACACACACACACACACACATAGCAACCAGTTTTAATATTGTTGACTAGCAATTTGTCTTCTCTGTGACATTCCTAATCTTCAGCTATAAACTATCGCCCGTAAACATGATGCACTCATGAGCAAAAAGCCAGTCAGTTCCTTTGAGCGGCCTCAGAGTAGAATGGATTATCCCGCAGTCTCGTAATAATCAATACAGCATATATTCAGACATTCTCAAATACGGCATTGTTGATCATAGTGTCAGTATGTCAGTCATCTATGAACGCTTCTTCAATATAAAGTTTACCTGTTCATAAAACTTTGCATGATTTGTTAATTATTTTGGTCCAGGAAGCAGCCTGGAATAAATTAATATTAATAATAACAATGATGATTAGAATAAAAATAATAAGAATAAGCATAATAATTGTAAATGTGTTGAAGAAACCCGTACGGTAGATGATCGGCTTGCATCACTGATAACATCGCCGACGTCGTCATCACCACCACCATTCAACCCGTCCTCTTAAAAAGAACGTCACTTTTGGCTGGTATGCGCGATATGGCTAAATTTGGACGTAATTTGAAATGAAATCGACTCACAAAAGTGACGTTCTGTTCCGTTTTCTATTTGAGTCGTCCGCCTTACGCGCAGAGGTTATAAGAGGACACTTTAAATTCACGTTTTTCATAACGTTTTGAAACTTTATGAGAATTTCCTGCCCACCTAACCTATCAGAGGACCCTTAACTTACTGTTGTTGAAAAAAGAAATCCCAAATTTATTTTAATTTTTTTTTCATTTTCAAATTACGTCCAAATTCGGCCATACGGGCAAACGGCCAAAAGCGACGTTCTTTTTAAGAGGACAGGTTGCACCATTACCGTCACCATCATCACCGTCACCACTGCAATCATCACCCCTTCCACCAGACTCAAGAGACAACCAGTGCCACAAGTCAAGAATATGTGAGCAAGGTAACAAAAACAGGAGTTGGAGGTAGTGAGGGGAGGGAGAGAGACGCTGGCCAAACCACCACCACCGTTCAGTTCCCGCCCGGGCCTCGCTCAGTGTACAAGTGTACTCACCGGCTTAATTATACCAGGTGTGCTCGTCGAGCGAGTTTATTCCTTACCGCCGGAGAGAAAAGTATAGTTCGTTGTACAAACGAACAGTGGTATATTTAGCAAGCTACGCCGGGTGGTATTTTGTGTCATTGAAAAGTTTGTAGCGTTATTACATGCAGTGCTCGCGGACTGCGTGAAATTTGATGGTCATCCGTTTGCTTTATGTTGAAGTGAATGAACTCGCCTAATCTATCGTTGAAGAGAAAGAGATCAGTTTGAAAATCTCTTTACACTTCACTTGGTTCGATGCTTTTTTCGAGGCGTGGGTGAAAGGTCTACATTAAGCGTGTTTACCTCAGTGGTGTTTGGGGCTTGCAGCTTGTGTTGTGAGTCACGTGGTCGAGCAAGCAGAGCAAAAGATTAATGAGATCAAAGGTGAGTAAATATATTGTGGCTGTTTGACTGGTAAGATGTGAATATCTTATACCGGGGAAAATAAAGCCTTTCCAAGGAAGTTTTAGATACATTTTTAATAGATACATATATGTCATAAGTAACTGTTATGGACCTTACCTTTGTTTATGCTTGCTAGTAATTGAATCTTTACACTTGAAGACATTTGCATGCATATAAAAAATAATTAGACAGTTGTAATTAATATGGCCCAGCTGTGGCGACTTTGCGCGGGTGACTCCCACTGAGATATACAAGTTCAGTAGTGACTCCAATTGAGATACAGTCTGGAGGTAACTCCCTGGGTTGCCGCCTGAAACCAAAAATAATAGTAACCTAACAAAACAGAAGCACCAGGTAACGCCCAACTCGAGGTTCTTATCTACTACTGATAATGTTTATCTTTGATTACTGATATGAGAGAGAATCTGTTGTCTTAGACTCGCTCCCCTTAACCTACGAAACAGGCTGTCTCGGGCTTATAACTTTACTCTAGCCCGATATGCTTCCAATTTAGCCAAACATGTTTTTCTATCTAGGAATTAATGTGTTTTGTATCTGGAGTGGGTTCTGGGAGTTCTAGCCAAGCTCGACTTGTGATAACTAGGTCCAACAGGCTGTTGCTTGGGGCGGCCCGCAGGCCCACATGTCCACTCGTTAACCTGTCCTAATAGAACGTCGTATTTTTACGTATACACTACCCAAGGCCAAAAATTGTCGTACTTGAAAATAGTAACGGCTCGCGAAATTGACATACTGTCCCCTTTTCTGTTTTGGGTCCTCTGGTGGGTTAGGATAACGGCACTTTAGTACGACAGTTTCTGGACGTTGGGAAATCTCAGGAGGACGGGCTACACAACGACCTGGTTGATGAGGCACTTCTTGCAGGAACCCATCTAATTGCTTTTTGAAGAAGTCATCCTTTTCTTCGGCAATATTTATATTGCTTGCTGGGAGATTATTGAATAGCCGTGGACCTCTGAAGTTCATACAGTGCTCTATGATTGCGCATATGGCACCTCCGCGCCTCACTGGTACTATTCTGTATTTCCTTCCATAATTTTCACTCCAGTAAGTTATAATTCTACTGCAAATTTGGGACCTATCCTTCCAGTATTTTCCATGAATATATTATTTTATATTTCTCTCGTCTCCTTCCCAGAATATATTTTGAGATATTTGAGACGATCCCAAAAATTTAGGTGTTTTATCGTGTCTGTGCGTGCCGTATGTGTTCTCTGTGTTCCCTTTATTTCAGAAATCTGCTCGGAAATGGGAAGTGAGTACCGAGCAGTACCCAAAACGGGACAGTACCCGCGATTTAGATAGAATTAACATTGCAGTGGGATCCCTGGGTTAGAACGTTCTCATGATACACAGATATAGTGCCAATGCCTGAATTGTTAAAATGTTGTACCTTGCATACATCAGGTATTTCGCGGATTATGCTGCACCTCTGAAAGTGTGCGGAAGAACTGTTCGAGAAACGTTCAAACGTTATCCAACCCGTCCTCGACTCAGTTCATTACATCCAGCGGTCGACCCCACAGACGCATTCATAAATTTTTACATTTTTACATTCATAAATTTTTACATTGATCGCTGGATGCTGTTCATTCAAAACGGGAATTTTCTCAAATATAAATTAATATTATAATAGCATATTGTGCATATATAGGCATAAGTTAGGTTATGTTCTGTTGGCGATTATTTGTATTTGCAGTACGTGGGTGAAGCATTTATAGCGTTGTGGTTCGAAGAAAATGCATCAGTGAAGCACTTGTTCCTGAAATGTTCGAACGTCATCACTTGTGAGTCGTGTGTAAACCGTTTTCATTCATAAACAGGGGGTTTGGCGGGTGCTAGGAATCGCTTTTGGGTCTTTGGAGGACGGGCTGCGTTATCAATTGTAAGTTCAAACCGTCCTCATCAACAAAATCCAAATGTTTGTTAATTTAGCCGCCAAATCACCTGTTTATGAATGAAAAGCGGTTTACACACGACTCATAACTGATGACGTCCGAACACTTCCGGAACAAGTGCTTCGCTCACGTCTTCTGTTCGAACCGCAATTCTATAAATGCTTCATCCACGTACTTCAAATACAAATAATCGACAACAGAACTTAAACACCTAACCTAACCTACGCCTAACTATACATATAATTTTTTATAATTATATTAATTTATATATGAGAACAAATCAATTTTTAATACACATGTTAAAATTGATGAATGCGTCGGGGAAGGACGGCCACAGCCTAGTGTGAGAAGGACGGCTACAGCCTAGTGTGAGGATGGGTTGTCGCATCTCACTCCTGTAAATGCTTCACTCCTGTACTTTAAATACAAATAATCAAGAGAGCCTAAACACCTAACCTAACCTATACGCCTAACTGTACATAGAAGTAAAAATAGAATCTTTTAATGTTCTAGAATGTTTTCTAGAATGTTTAATACACAGTATGCTCAAATTGATGAATGCCTCTTTGTGGGGGGGGGGGGGCTATGTATAGGGGGGAGTGAGACGGCCGACGCTTTAAACAACCTAGCCTAAGGACAGGATGGAGATGCCGGTATACACTATCAGACGCTGAAAGCCATAATTGTACAGCCAGATTCCCAGTGTAAAGGGTGTTTGTCCACGTTGTCACCCATCCAGGAGACTTCGCGGTGAGGGGTATAGCAAATGTTGACGCAAGTTCGAGTTTGTTTCACAGGTAACTTGAAATTAGTTATTGTAGTGGAAAAGGTCTTTTAAAAGAGATTAAATTTATGATATTTTTGAATTTGACAACTTACGAGGAACACTACTATTTGTGTGAGTGTGTGTGTGTGTGTGTGTGTGCGCGCGCGCGTTTGCATAATCGTTGTAAATGGAACCTGATCCTTTGTCCCCCATCCCCCACACTATCTCTCGCATAATGTCTCCGGCTGACCACGCAACACACGCCCCTCACCTCTGTTATCTGTTTCACAAAGTAGTTATAGTCCTTTAAACACACACTAAAAAACCAACCATACGCTTCAACTATCTCAAGCTCTTATAATAACGATACCACTTTACGATGCAATAATTATCAAAGGTATTTTGAGAGAAAATAAAACTCATGTTGAAAACAAAGGGATATTAATGTTCACTTCTCGCGCTAATTGACAGTTTTTGGTAGGTTTATATCTTCCAAATTCTTCAGGAATCTTTGTTTTAAATAGTACTCAAAATAAAGCTGAAATCACGTAGCTAATTGTAGTTAAATGTAATTATCCTTAACGGAATTTTAAAATTTGTTCACCGTGAAAATCTTAAAAGAATATAATATGATACAGATGTATGTAAACTTAAGTTATTTCTTTATCTTGGAACGTAGACTACAATATTCCGTTTGTTTATGGCATACAGGGTTAACTTTAACTGAGTGAGCATCAACTGGCAAAGAACAAGTCTGTGTATGTATATCCACCTGGGTACTTAACATGTTAATATTTTGAGGACTAGACTAACAGAATCATTAAGGTAATAAGCTGTTTGTTAATTATTAGATGAAAGCGTTTGACCTGAATTACGTCTGCCATGTCGATTCTCCCATTACTGCAGTGTCGATTATTTTGGTGTTGCTCGTAGAATCTCTTTGTTAATGGACTGTTTGTGTATAGAAATTATATGATTTTGAACGGAGTCTAATTTTCGGTGCCTTTTCTGACTTCGTAGTTAACACTCACACTAAGCTGTGATGTGTTGTTAGATAACGCCAAACAGTAGGTTGTGTCGCAAGCTAGCACCAAACACACTAGACAGTGTCGCTAGTTAGCACCAAACACACTAGACAGTGTCGCTAGTTAGCACCAAACACACTAGACTGTCGCTAGTTAGCACCAAACACACTAGACTGTCGCTAGTTAGCACCAAACACACTAGACTGTCGCTAGTTAGCACCAAACACACTAGACTCGCTAGTTAGCACCAAACACACTAGACTCGCTAGTTAGCACCAAGCAGATGAAGCAAATATAGCTGATAATTGGGTGTGTTGGTATGTGAGATGGGAAGGAGTCTCCCCAACCTGTGGTTGTATGCCATGTGAAGGTTGTGGTGGGTTGGGCTGGGTGGGCGCAGATCGCTTGTATATCTTGAGCGCCTCGGCTAGCTTCCTAGGGATTATCTCACCTCTGATGGGCTGAGGCGAATTCTGTAAACAGGTTTTTATACTCTGAAGATTGTTCGTGAAAACTTTGTTTTTGTCAAAACTTTTAGCGCTGTATTTATTTTTTGTATCAGGTAGTAGCTTATTTTTCAAAATTACACAGAATTATGTGGGATTATATGCATCAGTTTTTAAATATTTAAAAGATTCAAGATTCCCCCTAGAATCATTATATAATTTATTGAATCAGTGCCATGCAGCGTCTCATCAACGTGCCTAATAATTAGGTTTTTGCGACCTATCTCTAGATTTCTGACAAGTTCTACCTCTTTTCATTCTTCCAAATTTAATTTCTGTCCGACGTTCTTCAGATACTATTTAACTCTTAACGTTGAATTAATTCATTAGCAAGCAAACACCCATCCTGAGCGCATTTATTGACCTGTCATATGTGACTTGGACTGTGGATTTTAATTTCTGGCTAGTACAGTGTCTTGAAAAATTCAGTTTAAACTTCTTTTTTTATAAGAAATAATTACATAAATAAACAAATAAATTTCAATATGTAAATAAACTAGACACAAAACACACGTAAACAAATTGTGCTTGAGGTGGGAGTTTATTTTCAACAAAAGATGTTGAGTGGAGGGCGTTTAAGGTTCACTGTAAACGTCAACCGTTGCTTCTACCACCTACCAATGTCTTACGCTCGTCTGATATTCCAATTGTAAGGTATAAGGCGTGTAGCTGATTGTTGTCGTGCGTGTATATGGTAAGACAATATTTCATAAGTCTTGAACACCAGTAAATATAAAATTCTAAACGAGAAAAATCAAGTGACACTTGTGTTTGTTGTGTTGCGCATCAGGTGGTAAAAATAGTTCAGGTGATCGTCTGCTGTGCGTGAATGCGTGTGTGAGTCAAGAGTGAAAATATCGCTGGGTTAGTGAGGAACCTTATGCTCCTGCCGTCTCCCTTGACTGGACTTCTTTTCCTACATCTTCCCTAGTTAGTAATAGTCTATTTATAAAACATATTACATGTGGCATGATTACAGTTCGCATTGTGTGCATGTGTATAAATTCAACCCTAAATTTGTAATCACTAATCTAGTGTGGACTGGTTGTGACATTTCCAATCGTCCCGACCGCTTTGACCTGTGCCCAGTATACCTCCTTTATAGGAAACAGATATAATTAACGTT